CTGTCTCCTCCGCCCAGCAGCTAGAGGAATCTTTTGATTCCTCTAGTGATCACATTACTCCCTCCTTAATTCCCTCCATGGCTTTTCCTGGCTCTAAGGAGAAAATTCAAGCTTCCTGTGATCTGCAGAGCCTTGCCCACCTTTCCCACCTCTTCTCAGGGCCCTGCCCCTCTCACTCTGCCTCTTTTGTGCCTCCAACCTACTCACCTACCGCAGAGCTTTTGCAGGTCTGTTCCGTCTGACTGTAATGTTCTTCCCTAGTTCTTCTTTAACTAGTTAATTCTTCCTCTCTTCAGATCTAAGCTTACGCCTTCAGAGCAGCCTTCCTAGACCCTGAGAATCTACTGGGTTCCTTTGATATAAGCTCCACACCTTTAACCACCTCACCACGAGGTGCGTGATGCATTCATTGTAAGGATCTGATCCCCTACTGCACTGTGAGCTATATGGGGGCAGGGACGGTCTGTCGTGTCCCCCAGCACCCAGCACACTGTCCTTGGCATAGAGTGGGTGATCAATCAATGCATCGCACGACTCCTGTCCCTTGCAGGACATGACAAATGCTCCTGGCTACTGCCTCACGGCCAGCAGGGGAGGGAGACACAGCAGCGGTCAGTGATTCCACTGTACAGCTGAGAAGACTCAAGGGCAGAGAATTCAGGCAAACCTCCATGGCCCTCCAGGCAGTTAGTGGGCAAGCAGGGACTTGAGCGAAGGCGGGCCGCATGCGCCGGCCGCGAGTTTGACATGCTTGCCATGAAGCAATTTCAGGAGCAGACCATGTATGGCAGGTAGTTGTCCTGGCTGCCCTGGGTGTCATTCGTCTCTGGGTGGTTCTCCCTGCTGTTACTTAGGACAGTTGAACAAGGCAAGCTTTAAGTTTCAGGGGCTCCGAGAGGTTTCGTTCTCATGGATTGTCTCCATCTGTGTCCCGGCCACCAGATGCTGAGCATCCTAGGAGAGGGTGGGGCAGTGTCTGAGGTACCTGTGTCTGCAGGTCTCCTCCACCCCCATCCTCAGATCTTGTATCAGGAAGCTCATTTAAACATTCAATCTTCCCCTGCAAGAAGAGAAGGCCATTAAAGGAGAGAACCGTGTCTTTTCTTTCCAGGGTTTATGAAGTAGGCAATGAAAAAAGCATGTGTTGACTTAACCTGTGTTTCCATCTTCCTCTTTCTGGTTTCTTTGAAGAACTTCCCCCCTCTGCATGCAGTCCAGGGGTAGGTATTGACTCTATTCTGGCCAATCAGACAGAGCTGCCTGGGTTCTGTGTGGAGGAGGATTCTGATTCCATGACTGATGAATGATGTCTCCCATGAGTAGGAGAGGAGTGCGTGTCCACATGTGTGCCAAGTATTTGCTATCCTTATAGTAGAAACAAATAAATATTCATTGAATGAATGAATTCTGAATTCCATGACCTTCTGTTTCAATTAGGCAGCTCTCTTTCCCCAAGTGAGACTGTCCCCTGTGAGATGTCCTGGCACTTGGCCCTGGGAATCTATATATATATAAAAGGCTAATATGCAAAGTGTCCCCTCGGGAGTTCAACCAGGAGAACGGGAGTTCAGTCGCTCACTATGACATGCGCTGACCACCAGGGGGTGGCGCGCAACATGGCGGGCAGCCAGGGGTGGTGGTGGGGCGCTGAGGGAGCGAGGGAAGGAGGAGGCGGGGAGGTGGGGAGGTGGGTAACCTGATCGGCCCTGATCGCCAGCCAGGCCTAGGGACCCTACCCTTGGCATGACTTTCGTGCACCGGGCCTCTAGTATCAGAATAATAGAACATCAGAATCAATATCAGAACCATTTCCCTGGGATGTATGATATGCCCTTTCAATGAATTATTTCATTGGATTTTCACAAGTCTCATGAGGGGAGGATTATAATATCCATTTTATGCTGAGGAAGCTGTGGCCCCACAAGGGGAGGGATCTACGCAAAACTTCACAGCACGTCGGTAGCAGAGCCCATCGCCACATTGCTTCCCCGTTTCTCCACTCCGCCATGTGTAAGACCAGTGATGGGCTTTGTTCTTTCTCCAAATCCAGTGTAGCAACTGGAGCACGACTCAGTTATTCATTTACCAAAGAGAGAGGAAATAAATACTTGCGCAATCCTTGGAAAAACCTCTGGAAAGTCCCTGCGTGATGAATCCAGTCCAATCCAACATGTAAGCCTGGGTATTTGAAGGCTGACTTCACAACCATTGGCCCCTAACACAACACCGTTTTATGGTTGTCGTGTTAATTCTGCCGGGTACCAGGGGCAGTGCAAAACGTCTCACATTCATTAACTCATTTCACCCCCACCATAGTCCTGTGAGGAAGTAAACAGTATTCTCTCTGTCTTACAAAGGATGAATCTGAGGTTCCAAAAGGTGAACCTCCTTGAGGTCACACGCAGTATGAGGGTGTATGCATGTGTGTGTGCATGTTTTGGGGTGCATGTGGAGTTGTATTGTGTCAGTAGAGAGCATTTTTGGAGGAACAGGCATGGGAATAAAGGTGCAAAGCATGTCGAGCGGCCCAAGGGGTGGACTGCAATGAACATGTATTTATACACCATTTCAGATCCTCCATTCCCACCCTTCTTACGCAATCTACTTCCTTTTAGGTGACTGACTAGTCCTGATATGTTCAGTGTTAGGGGATCTTGGGCACATGATTAGAATCTTTCTTTAAGTCTCTGAATCTAGCAAGGAGTGAGACAAGGCTTGAGAGTCATTCAGGTAGCACAGGAGGGGGGTTAATTAATAACATCATTTCTGGAAATGGATGGCCTGTCCAGTGCCAGACTCCACAGTTTACCAGCTATCTGACCTGGGGCAAGCTGCATAGCGTCTGTGTGCCTCAGTTTCTTCATCTTTAAAATGAGGACAATCGTAGCATTTTCCTCATAACTGTTACACATTGAGAGAAGTACTTGACACGTAGGAAGCTCTACTTTGGCGTGGGTGTCTGTCTGGATGTAATGCCATCCGTCATCAAGGGTTTAAAATTCATTTCTGCCATCTTGCCTGCTGCGTGCTTTCCAGAGGACAGCTCCCCGCCTTCTCGCTGACTCTGTGAGCGCCTGATACCCAGCTAACCCATTGCTGACCTACCTAACTATCTCAGTTACTCTCTTTCCTGAAAACCCAGAATGCTAGCTGTCAAGTCCGTTCTGTGTCACTGCAAAGCTGGGACTCTAGAACCTCCAACCCCCCTCCCCCAACTCTCAGTGGAATTCTGCACCTGCCATCAATCAGCAAGTCTGTTTCCTCCCAACTCATGTCTGGAGTCGTGATACCAAAACCATCCAGACTGGCTCCTGCAGGCTGGGGAGGGCTTATGTGATTACTTAGTAAATGCTACTGAGGGATCTTCTGGGCTGCCTGGCACAGTGGAACCATTGGGGATTATTAGTCCCAAATTAACAGCCAGCAAAGGGAGGTCCAGGAGTATGAAGGGACTTGCTAAAAGTCACACGGCCAGATGGGCTGGCTCCTAGCTCAGGTTCTCTGTGCTAAAAGACTGAGTAACCTCTGCGGAGTGAGCGATGAGCTTCGAATAAGGCTTGGGTTTTGAATTTAAAGCCTTACTACTGCACTCGTCCATTTTCCCTTCTTTGCTTCCTCCCCATTTCTTTAAGCTTAATAACCCCTCAGGGCCTTTGCACATGCTGTTCCTTCTGCCTAGAAGTCTGTTTCTCGCCCCCCACCCCCACCCCTTCCTCCACTCTTCACCTGATTCCTTCCTTTCTTTCGGATCTAGGATTCTCTGTCCCTTCTGAGACAACCAGCTCCAATGTGATCCCCTTACAGTCCCAATGCCATCATTTGTCTGTTTCCTTAGCAGTTACCACCTTAAGGTGTTTGTTTGTTTATCTCTTGTTTATGTGTTTCTTGCCCATCTTCCTCACGAGGTTGTACATCACCTGAGGGCAGAGACTCTGATTTCTTCTGGCTCAGTGCTTGGCACAATGTTTGACGGATGCTAGTCATCCAACCAGAAATGATCTAGTTTCTAGTCTCCCTCAAAGCTGAGGAGCAATGGCTTGGCCGAGGTCACACAGGCAGTCATTATCTGGGAGACACACGATGCTGACTCCTCACCACCAAATCTAAGAGGCAGGGATCATCGTCATCACCTATCACAATCAGCCCCATTTGACAGATGCAGAAACTGAGGCCCAAGACAGTTCGTGACTTGTCTGAATCCCTCAACTGAAAGGTGGACGACGAGAGGGCTGGGAACCGGGTCTGATTCCGAAGTCGGTAGCTTGGCCTCGCTCTGCCAGTCTGCAAATGTGGGCAGTGGAGCGGGCGGCCTGCGAGGCGGAGGGGGCGCG